ATAGCGCTGATGAGCTCTCCACCTAAGCCTGCCATTTTCAAAGCAATTATAATCCCATGTGGAGGTAGATTATAGGATTTCACTTCCTTTGTTGGCAAAAGGCCGGATTTGTAGATGTCATGTTCGCAAAACGAATGGCTCTAATTGAATTTGTGTGATATGTAATTTATGATTTTCATCACCCGGTAGTTACATTTTGGTTCTTTTTTTTTATTTTTTGGGGAAAAAATGCTATTTTAAAAAAGACACAAACACTGACTAAATATTCATTTACAATAAAAAGATAACAGATAAAACTTAACAAACAAGAAAACTGAGCTTCATCAGAGGTCATACCAGAACCTTGCATATAATTGATTTAAGTGTGTGTGTGTGTGTGTCTTGTACTGTACTACGATGTATTTCAATATTCACCAATGCACCAACGCTGCCAAGCAGATCAAAAAAAATTCCTTTTCATCCACTTTGCAAAAATAAGATTAAGGCATCATCCATTCAAGTGACTGTAATTACATTGAATTTTCTTTTGCCATAAATTCTCACACTAATTAGTCCCCACCGTCTAATGAGGATGCAAATAAAGCTGATTCGATGACGAGAACGCAGCCTATGCGCTCCTACCTTCCTGTGGGTAGCACGGATGGATCGGCTGTTCAAAAGCACCAAAGTGACGAGATTGCCACTGTGCGTTCCTCCGCCTGTTCGCGCCGCTAACTCCGAGCTATTGTAATGAGGAGTGTGACAACTATGGAAATGAGTTCCAAGTTTTTAAAAAAAACAAAAAACAAAACTGTGTGTGCGTTTAGTTCTTGAATCTGTGAAGTTAATTTCTTAGAGTTCCAAAGTGCTGCAAGAGAAATCGTAAATCTTCTGAAGTAAAAAACTAAATAAAAAAATCAGTTCATACTGTGTATATGTACAGCTTCCAGATGTCAGTGCTGTCCTCATTTACCAAACTGGCAGCTTTCCTAAATCAGTTTCATAGTTTAGGTTTAACACCCTGTATCCCGTCTGTTTTTTATCTCCCTAGAAAACTCCATACAGCTCAGTGTTACATAAAGTTAGAGTTAAGCTCTGTGGTGTTTTGACAGGATGTGTTCTCAGAACTGGAGACATGCTGCCTAATTTAACCAACATCCCTGCTTACAGTTATGCTGTTGCTCTTACTTGACCGTGTGATGCATCTTGGCTAATCAAAGTAATTACGTGGAGGGGTTTTTATTTTCCACCTCAAAGAAAACTTCTACAGCGACAGAGCATTATGCCACATTGAACAATGAGCTCATTAAAATGCATTCCAATCATCTGGGATTAGACTTTACAGTCCATTTCAGATCAATGGATTAAAAACATAACAGCAGCACCACTGCATTATTTATCAGCCTTTTCAGTTAGATCCTAGCCCCCTTTTGTGTTTTTACGTGTAACATGTTTCACGTCCATGAAAAAAATAAAATAAAATAAACTTTTTTTTAAAAAATCAGTGCATTTACAGCTGACACTCACAGTTGATTTCATATTCCAATTGTTTTTTTCTCTGACGAACAGCAGATAACTTAATTAGTACAAGTGCAGTTCTGTAACAATGCAGATACACCACAGCGCTGTGGCTGACGAGGAATTTGGAGAATAAAACCGGATCCTGTCAGGGTGTAACAGCCTAGTTAGTTTTACAGCTGCACCTGCTCTATTAGATCCAAGTCTCTCTTAAATAATAATAAATAATAAAACAAAGCAGCGGCTAAGGTGCTGTTATATCAAGACTGCCCCTCTTGGTATTGATATATTATAAACTGTACGCTGACTTCATGCATGCAGCAAGGGTAAATAGGTAGAGCACCTGCTAAGTATAACTTAATGACAAAACTCTTATCAGACAACGCGTTAGGGAGCGTGTTTCATTTTATCATTAGGAGGCACAAATTCTCCATTAACTTCTGCCAGCAAATGCACTGACAATGTAAATGCAAATTGGTTACACTGAAAACCAGTACTATTTATCAAGAGTGGCCTGGTTTGTGCAGCAGCACTCTTGGCAGTGAGAACTTGTGTTCACTGTGCTGGCAGGTGGGGAGAGTGCATAGCCAGGCTTGTGTGTGTCATGTCACATTCAGCTCATCTGTCAATGTAGTGGATTATTTCTTGAGAGACCAGAATTGGCTTCCCAGAATCAGGGCACCATCAATCTTCAGCCGCACGAGCAGGACGCGCGGGAGGCTGTGTGAAGCGGAGGCTCGCGGGAGAGAGTGCGGCGCCGCGCTTCCCGAGCAGGTGACGAAGCAGTCGGGCAACTCGTTACTCAATCGCAGCATCAGCCGTGACTATGGCGATTTGTCACTGAAAGGTTTGGAGAAATAAATAAACAAACAAGTGCAATGTGAAATCTTCGCCCAATCTGTGGTGCCTTATTTTAACGTGTGCTGTGAGTTACTGTTGCAGGAGGCAGAGAAGCTGATTTCTCAAAAACTGTTAGCTGCTTCAACAGGCTGGAAGATAACATGACCTTCACTTCCCCTCCTCATATATATACCCACACAGCCCCTTTGCTGTGGGTTTTTTGTTTGTTAGCTTTTGTACCACTCAGTTTCTCAGGCAGTCTGCCAAGCTGCATTCACAGAGCCACACAAAGTAATTTCAGGGCATGTTTTCTTTTGTTTTCTTTAAAGGTACCAACCTCCAATTTCAGCATCATCATCTCAATGAAATGTATCTTTTAAAAATTGTGACTTAATAGCAAACATAAAGCATGTTAGTCTAGTGTAACATTATACTTCTATTCACAAAATATGTTTCAGACCTTCATGAGGAAAGCTCTACTGAAACTTAACTTGCAGTAGGACCATGCAGCACATGATATCATTCTTTAGAAACACAGAAACATCCGCTTATGGAAAACAGCAGAGCGTGAAAGCCAATGGATTTTTCAAGGCAAGACATCTCTTTCTTGCCACGTCCTACATAGCCATATCTATTTATATCTGAGGGTTCTGGCCTCAATGAAACCAGAGAGCTTCTCAAATTATAAAATCAATTCTAATTCAAATATTCATCATAGCATTTCAATTCTGAGAGAGGAGTTCTGGTTAGATCGGTTAACGCAACTTCACGGATGAGTAAGATTGATGTCAGCTTAATCCTCTAAAAAAAAAACCCAAAAAACATGATATACAGTAAATTGTCCAGTCAGAGAACAGCAGCTGGAGAGGAATGCATTCTGTGAGCAGTCAGATGTGATAGAACAATGCCTGCTGGGAAGTCTGCTGATTAAGACTGTAAAACTTCATAATACATTGGCAGACTACGATTATAAGTGCATTGTTCTGCACTTGTCTATTTGTCTCTGTTTGTTAAGTTTCAAAGTTTTCTAGAAAACCTCTAAATGCACCCGTCTCAGTGAGAATCACAGAAATGTTATTCAAAATTGAGTGGCCCAACCAGAAACACCCCAGTAACATGAATTAAATCTGGGTCAATCACCCATCTCTATGTTTGAAACTTGCTACTGAAATGCACCCTAAACACAGCTCCAGTATCCCCACAGCACCCATGAGGAAAGGCCGCATAATGTCCTTAAAGATGAGACTTCATTTACATCCCTGTACCCTCCTCGGTGCAGTAAATGCATGAGTTGATCTGTCTGACATGGAAAACCCTTCCCTATCACCATCTTGTGGTTGGATGCCTCTTCTAAATGTACAAGGAAGGGTGTGGAGGCCAACCACTACTTTTCCCCCCTCAGCCCCTTTGGGATCACTGCATTATTCAAAAAAGACATTTACTGAGCCATGCACTTCCTTGTACATCTTTGGCACCAAGCTTGACTTGCCAACAAGTCAAACCCCCCCAAAAAAGGGAGGAGGAGGAGAAGGGGAAGGGGGGTAAAAAAAAATGAAGGCAGCCTTTAAAAAATTCATTCTGAGCTCTCTATTGCTCATCCCTTACTGTCTTGTTCCAATTAACGCGGCTGGGATACTTTGAGAACTTTCTATCTATCATAGCTGGGATTCTCATGTGTCAGCTATTCCACAGAAAAAAGTACGCCAGCTCTCTGACATGCTGCTTAAAGCCACCAATGTTCAACACAAGCATAGAGAATTCAATGCTGGATTTTTTTTTTCCACTTGCTGTGCTTCAATTACTGTCTTTTTGCCTGGCAATGCAACACACACAAAAGGGAACCAAGCAGAAGATAGCATCAATGTTTAACAGCCGCTTGGCATCCACAGAAAGCTCCGCTCCGCACAAGAGTTCAGCACAGAAGTCGCACTTATTGTTAGAAGCTTAAGGAAAGCACTTGCTTTGCTCTAAAAACCTTCGCCTTCCGTGTAACAGTTCTACATACACTATAAGCGATTCTGGTAAGCTTCTCCGTAATCAGTGAATTAGAGCCACCTCTGTCTACCTCCCCTTTTGCCCTTACAGTGCAGCAAGGCGTCGGGCTTAATTGCCAAATGTTTCCAGTGTAAAAGAGGGGAACATAATTGTCATTTCTATCTAAGCCGCAGTGATCAAAGCTCCCCTGGCTACCAGCACAGTAATGGGGATTTCTCTCTACAGCTTGGCCTATTCGTAACAGTGTGCCAGGAAGATTCACGCTGCAGTAGTCAAGAATTCCACATCGCGACTGTGAATCATCGTTCCACTAGCTAACTCGGAGTGCTGAAAGGATGTCGTCCTCGGTGAGGTCTACACACAGAGATGGGGCGTAGCAGCCATATTTCTCCAATAGGTTGCAAAAAATGTATATAGGTAGGTTTGATTAAATTAACCTAGGGTAACACGTGATTAGAGGTAGCTGTCTTTGCTTATCTTGTATGACTGCGAGCACAGTGAATCATCTTGTACAGTACCGTGGCAAATCATCCTGACATACTGCAGCAGTGTCTCGCTGTTGCCTTTTAAACAGCCAAAGCTGACAACTGCTGCCCCATGGAGAGGGCACCATGTTTCACTGTAACAGGGTGCTATGAAGCTGAAATCTGACAAAGAGGCACACGTACCCAGGGTGAGAATGTCAGTGCGACCAGGCCGGGCCACATGGTGCTGTTGGATGGTCTGGTAGAGAGTTGCCTGGCACAGCAGCAGGAAGCCGAGGCTAATCCACATGGCCAACAACCAGGACATGGTAAGGCCGAGTCTGCAGGATGGCACGCCGCGGGGGAGAAACAACAGGGGGACAGGGGCAGAGTTGTATTACAGCATGTCTCCATATATATTTACAACACACACTGTGTTTATTTCATGTGCCCAAAGGACAAACAATGCTGACATCAACCACACACATCAAGACCACCGCGTCGAATACTGTCACCTGTTTTTTGTTTTTTTTTTCAAAGTAACACAGCTAATGGGAAGAAAAAGATGACAAAGGGGCTTTGAGGGAAATCCCAGCGGTCAAACACAAACTTTAACATGCTAATATCACACCACAAAAAGGAGAGCAAAGAAACATGAAAAAAAACCACCCTGCCTCCAATTTTTTTTAGACTGTAAGAATGATTCACCCCTTTTAGGAAAACCAGAGTTATTAAAAACAACAGCAAGACTGTGTTTCTAAGCACAGGCAGCCTTCTTGCAGATTTGTGCAGCGACTGCCTAATGGCTGGTGAGGGCCAGCATATGGAGACACGCCTTAGCCCTTATTGAATAATGAGGCTCTCCTCCTTTCCAGGTGTTATTAGGGCCTCTCTGCACAGCACCCCCCCCCCCCCTCCCCCCAACCAAGAAATGTGTCTTAGTGTGTTTAGAATTAGTACATATAAGGCTGAGGAGCAAATTTAGTGTATTCAGCCAAATGACAAATCGCATGCTCTGAAGTGATGTCATGACTCTAATGTAACTATGAATTTAGTGTTTGATTCTACCTGTCCTTTTACACTCTTTACCAACACTAAACCTGCCAATAAAGAGAAATCTAAATGCTCCAGTTTTCCAAATTAAGTGCCAATGATCTGTTCTGATCTAATAATACACTTGCAGAACCCGCCACCCCCTCCCCCGGGTGGTTTGATGTACATCTGAGATTAAAGCCATTAAGGTATTAAATGTTACCCATGTGTTCTTTACCCTCAGTGACATTGAGGCTGCTTAATATTCAGCGAAAATTAAGCATATAATTATTAACAGCGCATTGTAAATCCCCACCCCTGCACTAAATCCATCATAATCCGGTTTTGTGGAAATATGAACGGGTCCTGTGGGTTTATTTTCCTTAAAAAAGAAAAAAGAAAAAGAAAAAAAAACATTTAAAAAAAAACCCATCGTGTTCTTCTTGCCGGGATGCATTTATTATATATTCAAACAAAAAAAATGCGCTTGTGTGCTTTGCTGTTTATTGCACAGACTTGGAGACACGTTCTGACCAAAAAAATAAAAACATCACCTGATGTGAACACATACAGTTTATCGTCGAAAGGAGGAGGAGTATTAGTATCATTTTAAAGGAACTCAAGAAATAAAAACACACACACAAAACAGCTTTGAGGAAAAGCGGACAGGAAAACTCACGTGCATCTCGTTTTCCTTGCGGGAAACAAAAGAATTCACAAGAGCCGGTTTGGCTCTCACAGTTTTATCGCCTTAAAAGAGAGGCGGCCGCTCATCTGTGCGTAACAGGTAAGTCTAGCGTGAGATTTTAAACGCGGTTCGGAGCAGAAGCAGCAGACACACCTGCGGGCGTATAACCTCCTGATGCACCTGCGTGCAGCGTGGATTTAACAAAGTGAGGCGGTTTTATGAGCCCGCTCGTCTTAATGCTGCGGAGACAAGTTTAAGCAGTGACTCCCTAACACATAGACCTGTCTACCTGATTGCAATACACCGGGAGGAAATCACTCACCCTTATCCGCTGGCTTGTAAATAGCCCACATCTTTCCAAGAACTGTATTTGTTTAGTGATTAGCCTGCTACTCCTGTACTGTTTATCTGGAGAGGTCACCTACCGCTATGTGGAACTATTCATTCTAATTCTAAACATAGGTGGAAACTTCTTGAGGCTAGAAAAGCTTTTCTACTTGGACTCTTGCATATCTTTACATAAACCAGATGCATTTTTCAGCAGGCAGTATACTGTGGGGAATTAAATCAACAGCCCTCCTACCCCATCCCCAAACACCAAAGGTGCTCCATTCAAGCCCCCCACGCCCTTACCTGAGCGCTGTGTTCAGAAGCAAAGGAGTTCAGTCAGAATCACTGCCTGCCCAGCAGACTCACTCCTCAGTCTTAAATCCATCCATACTTGGGAGCCAGGGTTTTCAGCCTGAAATTCCACTAACAGATAAGCCAAACACTGCACAAAAGGGAGCTAAAAAGGCTGTTCTTTCCTTTCTATATATCCTTTTGGACCCCTGCTGCTCAGGTTCTTTTTGAAATCCTTTGGCAACACAAACAGTCACCAAAAGCAAAACACCCAGGGGTCTTTGTTACAAACTGGCCAGGATTTGAGGGATGGAAGGCTGATCATGTCACTGCTGTCTCAGCCACATTCGTGAAGATGTGCTCTCCTTCCTTCAGTGTCTCTTCTCCGTCAGTAAAACTCCTATGTTCTGTTGACAGGGAGCTAATTTACCCTCCTCACTTGTCGTCTCCTTCTCACGCGTGCAGCGGAAGGCTCCAGTGGAATGACTGCTCTGTCTGCTCTTGGCTGCATCCCCCCATTGAGAAGCAGTGCTGATAGTGTGAGCTTCAGTCCTCTCTCCAGCGCTCTAAGTAGAGAGTCTGTGTCAGACAGGGAGAGCGAATGTGAGTGAGTGTGCATGTGTGTGTGTATTACAATGTAGCCCAGCTGGAAAGAAAGGGAGAGAGAGAAAGAGAGAGCGAGAGAGAGAGAGCTGAGAGAGTCAGATCACACGTCTTAAAGCAAGACTACCCACTTCTGCATCAAGACTTCATCGGCAAATGAGGCATGCTTTATTAACCCACCTCTCTTTACGTCCCCGCTTCCCATCCAGAGCACTGGGAGACGTGCGAGTGTAGCCTTCAGCTCACTTTGAATCTGTTTGCGTCCACGTGCACGCCTGCGAGTGTGAGTTGGAGAGAGGGAGTGCGTCTGTTTTAGTCATTGCCCTCCAGCAAATTACCGGTGAAAGTGAAATGCTCCGAGCACAGCACTTTTAATAGAAGGCAGGGTGCCTCATCTCAGCTCTGCAATCACCATATTACATGTTGTGAGCTGGCTGTGCTCTTCCTCTAGTTTCCCGGTGATCAGTGAGGATTTGTTTTTTCCTTCTTTTAAACCACGAACCCTTCAGAAAACATTTTGCCACCCTTGAAACAAATTGAATGGGAAAGAGCCATGACAATAAATCTGTTCCCTTTAAAGGAAACCCATCTCTTCTCTTCTTCTTCTTCTTCTTCTTCTTTTTTTGTATGCGTGTGAGTTGGTGTGGGTCACGTGTGGCACGTGTGTTTGTATGGAGTGTGTGGAGTACCATTTCCTCCAATATACTGAATTTTCCTCTACAAGCACGAGTTCCTCTTTAATCCATCCTAATGTTAACCAGAGATTTATTGTATATGCCACTCCCACACACCTGCCATGACTGACTCACTCATAGTGTGATATTTCAAGTGAACCGTATGCTGCACACAAGAATACTCAGAGGGGCTAAATAAACTTGCAGACAGTGAAGAGAGTGTTACTGCGGAGGAGTAATACAGATGAACTTGATGATGACTATCTGGATAATTCTCAGATCCGTGTTCCTACACTTTGCGTTCTGTGATGTGCGAGCACAGTGAAACAATCTATTTCTCTGTATGAGAGCTTTGTTACTAAAAAAAAAAAAAAAAATCAGCTTTCTGATTTTTGGGCTATCCTTTTTTTTTTTCGCTTCAGCTGCTGGTCAGGGTGCCATGATTCGGGGCATCCTGGACTTATTTGCGCTGCTGTGTTATCACCTCTGCTTGTTCTTTACACGCCATTGTGGGATGTGACAGCCAGATGCACACAGCCCCACAGAGTTAAAATCTGCAGGAAAAGGGCTGAAGTCAAAAAACACACAGTGTGACAAAATGCCACATGGGGATATTATTCCTGCAATGCAAAGTGCGGAGCAAGTGGGTAAAAAGCTGTTAAAATTACTCGTCTTAAGACTGAAAAATGTCGTGGATGCAGTTCAAGCCATGTGTTGCTGTTGTTTTTTCATAGTTCTCTAATAATCTATTGGGAAGACAGTTATGAATAGTGGCGCTGCCATCTGGATCTCTGTTGGGTAAAGCACACCACATGTTAAGTGACCAGATTCGCATTAGGCAGAAACTGCAGCGTAATTACCACAATGATTAGTGCGTCTACATTGTAAATGCGTATTTGCACAAAGTGGCTTGATTACTAATAAACAGGCTCATTTGTACATCTTTGTATTAGCTTATTTTTTTTGCATGTGTGTAAGAATTATTAATAGTACCCATGCTTGGATTTCATTTTGTCCTCAGCACTTAATGCTTTTATGATCTGTCCCATTGGACTAAGATGAAGGCGTGAAATGAAAGTCCTACAAACAAGCCTCAGTGGAGAACTTAGGACTGAAGGCATCCAGTTATTATGGGTTTCTTTTCGGCGTTGTGTAACACAAGTCTCCCATTTATAGCTTTATTTCTCTGTCGTTGTTATTTTGTCTCTGCCTCCTGATTTTCATTCTGTGTCAGTCTGAGCTGTGCTGGAAGAATGGACCAGGACAACAGAATTTCACAGTAATTCTGGATTGTTGTCGCAGTCTCATTCCTTCCTGTCTCCCTTCTCAGGGGTTTCCATCATTTCCAAACAGCTGTCGCCGCAGCCCATGCCAAGACCTAACCACAACCGACCAGTCGCTGGCCAACTCTGTGTTTGGATCTGGGCAGACCTGTTAAACACCAGCGTTTGCCAGTATTCCTCTCTCAGTCCTCTTCTTTTTCATTCTGTCATTCTCTTTTTTCTCCCCCGCCTTTATGTTTTTTTCTCTAGCTAATAAAATTCTTCCTTTCAGATCAGCCAACAAGCTTCAATATGCACCCGCTAGCTGTACCAAAATGCCAATTTAAGCCCCCCACCACCACCCCAGAAGCTTTCTGCTTCTCTTTATTAAATGAGCTTTGTGCTTTTCATCATTTTAGACTAGGAAAACAAAGAATTTCTTCATCTGATGTGAGAAGTTGTCGTGTTAGTAAACCTTTTCTCCAGAGTTATCGTAGAGTGACACAGAGAGTCAGAGGAAAGAAGGGAAATAAAAGAACAGGGGGAAAAAAGAAGGAGATTAAGGCAAGCGGGAAAATTCATTTGGAGGAACTGTGCCGCAGCACTCTTGCTCACTGATGGATGGTAATGGGAAGAAAATGATTAATGAAATAAAGAAACCTGATATATAGTAATAATTTATTTCACATTTATCACAGCATCTTTTGTGTGCACTTCCTCACATGGGTACCTTACTGTAACAGCAAAGTGTAAAATGTAAGGTTAGTGGATATACAGTTTTCCAAACATAAGCCTTTGAAGCATTAGGTTTATCCTGTTTTTCCTGTGTCAGCAGAACCGCTGAGAGTAAACACTAAAATGTCAGCATGAACTCCGAAAGGAAGAGAAATACTGGTTCTCACAAGCAAATTATTTCGTATCTACAAAGATGAATGTTTTGGGTTTTTTCTTGTTATGGCCCTAATTACATTCTCATTTTCACTACTAGACGAAATCAAGTCAATTAGACACATTTTAATCCTGTAAAACTGAGTTATTTTTATTGATTCTCTGCTCCTGTTCAGTAGCAAATGCATACAACTGTATGTTGTTAGGAGGCGGTTATATAAACAGCAGAGTATAATAACACATGTGATTCTGGAGTAAATTACCATCATCTATCCAATTCATTTCTATTTTAAGCTGTGTTTGCCTAAGCCGCTTATTATGGCCTGTTTGCTTGTTGGAGCTCTTTTGATTCACCAGCTTTGATTTGACCTTATACAAGTTTTCAGTGGAAGGGTTGCAATTTTCCATCACCTAACGGCGATAGGTCAGCTGAGGATCAAGACCAGTTTTTGCAGTCTTCACGGTTTGAGACTTTCAGCCTGGAGTTCCTGACGCGCTGACAGCTAGCATGCCATCATTTGCAGGCAAGCGACACAGTGGATAAATGCAGTAATATTTCTTTTTTTTTCTTTCTTCTAAAATGAAAATCAAATTGAAGAAATGGCATTTTGAGTGTAGATCCAGCACGCAGAGACATAATTACAGGAGTAATCAATGAGGCTTCCATTGAGTGATCTTAGGGTAGCAGCCACACTGAAAGCTTTCTGGACATGCCCAGATGGGCAGATTAGACTAATTCAAGGTTTAGGGTTAAGACCTGTAATTTTTATTGGCCTGGTTCTGGAATATTTCCATCATGGCTTCTAACTGGCATGCACAAGTTAGTATTCAACATTTCCTTAATAAGATGGATCTTGACTCATTGGCCACACTGCATTTGTTACAGTACCAAACATTTTGTCTACTACTGAGCTTTCAGTCCATTCTTCTGACATCACTCCATCCCGATATTTGTCTAATTTCCTTTTATAGCCGGGCATTTTTAATATTATCCTCCCAAGGCACGCTGAGCTACAATATGAACCCCACTTTTGAGGCTTCTGAAAGCAGGACACCAGACCTCACTGATGCTGATGAAAAGGTGCCAGGGAACTTGCCCAGCTACTTGCCTTTGTTAACAGTTGAAGGGAAATGCTCTGGCACATCACTCATATGTGGCACCGATACCACCCCGTGCTCCACCCTGTGCTCTCAGCCACTGTAACATGGTAACTTCAGTGCCTCAGTTTATGATGTACAAAGTTGCTCTGCAGTACACCCACCTGGTGGTCCATGTCAAAACTTTAAAAACTGATCAGAATGCATCAAACATGACCTCATTTGGATTCTGTGCTCTTTAGCTAAAGCTCCAATGCTGATGAAGGGTCTAATTTATTTCTACTTGACTTTGAGACTTTAAAGGAGTGTCAAGCATCCCTGTCAACTGATCGATCACCTATCTCTGTAAAACTGACACTGAGCTTTGGATTTGTTTATGTCTCTGCCACAGATCTTCTACAGTTTTGTATTGGTGTGCTGCTCCTTGGCTAAATAATCCATAGTCAGATGCCCTTACGCTGGCACTGCAATCATTTATCTCTGATCACCAATTAGTTTCATGCCTTGTAAGGTTTTCTAAAATTTTGGTTATCCAGCTCCCTCCTTACATTGAGTTGTTTTCTATATCCACATCTCCCCACACACACAGAGACACACATATATATTATTATGTATCGTGTCCTGATGTTTGGGAATCCTCATGGCTGTCACTCTGTATTTGTGACTAACAGCATGTAGTAAGCTGTGACAAAGCAGGCTTTTACATCAAAGGTAATGGCATTGGTAAAAAAAAAAAAAAAAGAAAGAAAGAAAGAAAGAAGGAAAGAAAAAAATCACTCATAAAAATAAAAATAATACATTTATAATTACGGCTTATTCAGCACCATTTTTTACATAGGTATTCTGTTGTATAATGGTAATAACATCAGACAACATAATCGAATGATCTCCGTAAATACTACACATATCTACACACTTAAAGTTCAACTCCTGGGGAATATTACTCCCCACATATTTAATCATATACTACAGGTAGAAGTGAAAATAATTTGTGGGATTTTTTGTGTTTTGAAGTAGGTCAGAAAATCTGGTCTGGTAATGTACTGGGACTCACCAAGTCTCAGCAGGGTAT